CAATAAAATATTGGCAAAACAATACATCAAAAGGATCATACATTCACAATCAAGTGGGATTTATTCCAGGAACGCAAAAATGGCCCAACATCCACAAGTTAATCAACGTGATACATACATTAACAAAATGTGGATAAAAACCATATAATAATCCATCTTAATAGATGTGGAAAAAAGCATGTGACAAAATTCAACATCCATTCATGATAAAAACTCTCAACAAAGTGGGTAAAGAGGGAACGTACTTCAATACAATATAGGTGATATATGATAAACCCACAGCTAACATCACACTCCATGGTGAAAAGCTGAAAGCATTTTCTCTAAGATCAGAAATTTCACATTACTTTTAAGAATATATACATACATCAAATCTGAGAATAATGCCCTCTCACCACTTTTATTCAACATAGTATTGGAAGTCCTAGAACAAAGAATTCTAAAATTTGTATAGAACCACAAAAGATCCCAAATAGCCAAAACAATCTTGAGAAAGAAGAACAAAGCTGTAGGTGCCATGCTCTCTGATTTCAAACTCCATTACAAAGCTACAGTAATCAAAACAGTATGGTACTAAGGGGAAGGGTATATATACCTCAGTGGTAGAGCACATGCCTAGCACGCACAGGGTCCTGGGTTCAATCCCTAGTACCTCCATCAAAAAAAATAAACCTAATTACCTCCCCACAAAATTAAAAAAAACAAACAAACCCTAACCCTGCCCCCCACCCCCAAAACCCAGTATGGTATTGTCATAAAGGCAGACACACAAATTAATGGAATAGAATTGAGAGCCCAGTAATAAATTCACATGTATATGGAAAATTAATTTATGATGAGAGCAAAAAACATACAATGGAGAAAGGATAGTCTCTTTAATAAATGGTGCTGGGAAAACTGAACAGCCACGTGAAAAAGAGTAAAACTAGACCACTATCTTAAGCACATAAATTAACTCAAAATGAATGAACGACTTGAATGTAAGAACTGAAACTATACAACTCCTAGAAGAAAACATAGGCACTATCCTCACTGACCTCAGGCTTAGCAATGTTTTTGTGGCTCTCATGCCAAGGGAAGGAAAACTAAACAAAACATAAACAAAGACTACAAACTAGAAGTTCCTACACTGCAAAAGAAACCACCATCAAAATGAAAGGACAACCTACTAAATGGGAGAAAATATTTTGCAAATCATATATCCAATAAGGGGTTAATATCTAAAATATATAAAGAACTCATATAACCCCACAACAAGAAAACAAACAATCCAGTTAAAAAATGGGCAGGAGATGTGAATAGACATTTTTTCAAAGAAGACATACATATGGCCAACAGGTATATGAAAAGATGTTCAGCATCAGTAGGAAAATGCAAACCAAAACCTCAAGGAGATATTGCCTCACATCCGTTAGAATGGCTACTGTCAAAAAGACAACCAACAAGTGTGGGCAAAAATGTGGAGAAAAGGGAATCTTTCTGCACTGTTGGTGGGAATGTAAACTGGTGCAGCCACTATGGAAAACAGTACGGAGGTTCCTCAAAAAATTAACTACTATAGAACCCAGCTACTTCACTTTTGGGTATTTATCTGAAGAACATGAAAACACTAATTCAAAAAGATATATGCACCCCTATGTAGACTGCAGCATTACTCACAATAGCCAAGATATGGAAGCAACCATAAAATTGATTAATGGATAAACAAGTGGTATATACACAACTGATTACTGCTCAGCCATAAAAAAGAATGAAATCTTCACATCTGTACCATGGATGAACCTTGAGGGTATTGTGCTAAAATGAAGTTAAGTCAGACTGAGAAAGACAACTCCGTATGCTTTCATACACACGAGGAATCTATGAACCAGCAAAGAAACAAAAGAAAAGAAAAACAAATTCATAGATACAAAAATCAGATTAGTGATTACCACAGGGGAAGGGGAATGGGAGGTGAGTCAAACAGGTGAAGTGTGTCAACTGCATGGTGATGGGTGGTGACTAGACCTGTGGTGTGATCTTTCTGTAGTGCATACAGATATTGAATTATAATGCTGTACACCTGAAACTTACAGAATAAAATCCAGTGAACTCACGTTTAAAAAATTATTATGGTAATTTTCAAAATATTCAAAAGCAGAGAGAATGTAATAAATCTGATGTATCTATCACTCAACTTTGACAATTATCAATTCATGACCAACTTTATTTCACCAAACTTCCATGTATTCAGAACCTCCATCCCTGATTATTTTTAAGTAAGCCCCAGAATTAACATTATTTCATTTGAAAATATGTTTGTTAAAAAAATTATTTTTGGAAATGCAAACACAACCATGGTACTATTATCACATTAGAAAATTAATAATTCCTAAATCATCAACCACTCGGATGGTGTTCATTTTTTCCTGATGCTTCAAAACAGTTAGTTTGAATTGGTAAAGTAAGAGAAGTCCATGCATCATGAATGGTCAATATGGGTCTTTAGTGCCCCTTCCATCACTTTCCCTTGCAATTTTCTGTTGAATAAATTGAGTTGTTCTGCAGTTTTCACGGTTGAATTTAGCTGATTGCATTCCCATCTTGTTTCAGTAACACTACAACCAACTCTGGAGTGAATGAAAACAGCTGATGACTCTATGGTGAGGGGTGGGAAGCAGTTATTTTTTGTCCTTAGGATATATTCTGGTAAACATGTACCGTCGACTCACTATGTTTTAGTCCTTTGAAAAAGTTCCTCTCTGAGAGGCTATGCCACCATGTACACAGTTAATTTCACTTTCCTTACCATTTTTACTTACTTGTTTATATAAAATATTAATATAGTTCATGTTAAGTATCATCAGTAACCGCTTCTCTTTCCCCTACTTCTTATTGGAAGTACCTACTCCTAATTAATACCAATGAGACAGCAGTGAGTTTATTCAACTTTTCATACATCCTCTCCTTTCCCCTCCATTCTCTGAAATGATGCCATATCCACTTGGCATTCTATACTGCTTCCCATGACCATTTGGTCTTCATTCTTTAGGTAAAACAATGTGATGATGCTCACCACCAGCACTACGTCAGAATCTCTCAAGTCTGGCTGATTATCTAAAGCTGGTTCCCTTACTGGTTCCTCAGGAACGGTTCCTAGAAACAGCATTTCTTTGTGGTCAGACCAGTTTCCTGTGGTCTCAACACCTGAAGGTCAGTTGGCTGGATATAAAACCTACAGTCTGCCATTTTCTTTTGAGTATTTTTTAAATGTTATGTCATTACCTTCTGGAGTAAAGTGTTGGTGGGAAGTGTTATTTTATTTCCCTTGTGAATCAATAATTTTACTGGATAATCTCTCAGTGTTGGCATTCCTGAACTGATTTTCCCTGATAGGCACTGTGCTCTTTCAATATATAGTTGTAAACAGTCTTTTACTTTAGGGACCTTTTTTTGAATTGGGTTTTTAGTATTTGTTTTATTCTGTTTTAGTTTTCTTCTTTGAGATTCCTACTACATGTACATTAGGCCTTTGTCTATTTTAGATCACTTTTGTTTTCTTTTGAATCCTTTGGATTTTTATTTTTTTAATTGAAAAGCTCTAGTCTTGGGTTGGGGGGAGGGTAACAGCTCAGTGGTAGAGTGCATGTTTAGCATGCACGAGGTCCTGGGTTCAATCCCCAGTACCTCCATTAAAAAAACAAAAAATATCTGTCCTCCTTTCTATCTTGTTTTTCTCTTAAAAACATTTTCTATTATGTATTTTTGTGTTTCTCCCTAGGTTTCTTTTCTTTCCTGAGTGTTATCATCTCTTTTTTCAAGCCTTCCTTTTTCTGTAATCAGTCTTGTTCCTGAGTTTTTAAAATTGTTTTATGTTTTTCTTCAGTGTCTATCATTTTCTAAAGTTTTTAGTTTACTTAAAAATATTAGATTGTTTTGTAAGCATGTCTTTTTCGCTGATTCCACTGCCTCTAGGGATATTATGTGGCTCCTTTTTTCCTCATAATAATTTATATGGAATTTGACTATAATCCTTTCTTTCGCTAATGTTTAACGTGAAATAAAGCTTCCTGTACTTCAGGAGAAGGGGATCACAACTGCTTTCCTAGCTTCATGGTTCCAGAATGCTCTCTTGTGTTATTTTCCCAAAGTGACAGATGATATGGCTTCATATTTGCTCCTCTCTCCTGCTTTTATTTGCATCTTTCCTTTGCCCCATTGTCTGTCTTGCTCAAATCAGGCCCTCTGCCCAGCAGTTCCTCCTCTGCGTGGGGTCATGGAAGAGAGCATGTACGGCGAAGAAAGCTCCAGCACCATGAAACACTGGCCTGTTACAGGGCTCTTCCCTTCAACTATGAAGCACACCCAGCATCACCTCCTTCTCAGTTTCGGCTGCTGCTCTCAGACTGGCCTGCGGGCTACAGTGACCTGTGAGAATCCCAGTCAGGCTTCCCTCCCCATCCATCCCCAGAAGCGTGACACCACAGGGTCCAATCGGTAGAGCCCCCCCCACTTGTGGTGGGGGCTCCTGGTGGGACCTTGCTGCCTACACTTGTCGTAGATGTTGACCGTACAGTCTGCAGATCTGCATCCAGGTTTGCGTGTTTATGGCAGGAGCCTAGCAGACTCAGACTAGGCCATGCCATTCCCCAGAATCCTAATTCACTTACTGGTAATTTATACATTTTTAGCTTTCCACGCAAGTCTACGATTATAAGATACACTTTATTTCTACCTGCTAGTGTTCCTCAAGTTTTCTTTAAATCTAACAGAATCTAGACAGAATTTTTGAATTCTATTTAGGTACTCATCATACTCACCTACCGCTATTTCCTTAATACCACCAAAACTTACATGCTTTACCATTTTTATATTTCCTGCTTCTTAAAACCTTAAAATTAACTAATCTTATGAAAATTTCAGAAGGTCAGCAAAATTAAAACTGATACGAATCTATCAAAAACGAAAAAATATTTAAAATCATATTCAATAGTGAGAAAATTTACTCAGCAAAAAGCTACCTTATATCAACAAGAGAGCACTCCAAAGATAATCTTCCCAGAGTCTTTAGGTTTTCTTGAAGTTCTCTTAAACAGTTAGTATTCACTACTAGTTCAACACCCACGTCATACAGCAAGACCTATGAAAACAGTAAGTCAGTCTATGGGAACACAATACTTCAAAAATTTTTTTGCAAACTGAAAAGCATAATACAAATTGGATAAAAATACAAAATGCGTTCACTCTCATGATTTTATTTTTAACTCTGCACTTACCTTTACCAGTGTGTCTGTAATCACTCTGATGATCTGACCTCTTCGCCACTGATTTTTATCTGGGATCTTAACAGCACAGTGCATATCATTTTCCCATTTTATAGGTTCCCATTTTGAGTTTTCATAAACAGCGAACATCTTTTCTCCTAAACTATGTGAAGAAAAATAATTAACTCTCTAAACCTTTTCCTGTAACATAGTTCTCTGACCACATGTCTTCTACCGTCCCCCCTTCCTCACTCTATTCCAGCCAAACTGGATATCTTGTTCTTCCCTGAATACCCAAGTTTATTTCCGCTGCAGGGTCTTGTCCCCCAGACGTTGCCATGGCTACTCCCTTTCCTCCTTCAGGATACACTTCAAGTGTCACTGGCTCTGTGAGGTCTTCCTCCCCACTGCTTTACTTTTTTCTGTTGCCTTCACCATCATCTGCTGCTCTACATATTTCATTTGTTCACTGTCACTCTCTACAACTTAAGCTCCATGACAGCACAAACTTGTCCATGTTTTTTACCACTGTATCCTTGACACTTACAATACTGGTTATCAAATAATAGGTGTTCAGTAAGCATCTGTGGGATTTATAAATCCTCATACAGTGAAAATAACTGGTAAAGATACTATCTGTATACTTTAAACTAGTTTTTTAGTGACTGTTTAGCTGAAATAATTTCGTACTTTTAAAATTCTGCATTTATTACTTCTATACCATTGAAATGAAATACAGAAAAAAGAATAAAACTATATGCAATATGTTGTCCTTGTATATAATACCTATTAAGTAAGTTTTCTGTTAACAACCACTGAACATAAATCTTCTCAGGAGATATTACATTACAGATATGCACAGGCAGTTCCTTATTATAAAGTGACTGGAGATTTTCATTAGGTAGAGATTTTGCAAATACAGGATTTAAGCTGTTTACTTCATTTGAAATAATTTCTTCTGGAGAAGGATCCCATACTTCAACATGCTTTTTGGAATTATCTTTGAGGGTATATCTGAAAAATAACAAAACCCATCAGCAAACAGAGCAGTTTGCAAAATACCTGTTTGTATTTGCTTAGACACAAATTCACAGTTTTGATATTAATAGCAACTGCAGTCTTTTTTTAAAATAGACTTCCTAATGACCAACAAAGGCCAAAAAGAAAAAAAGTTAAAGCCACAGTTTAAAATACTAACTTGCTCGTGATTTCACCATTACCCACTGATATTTTATACTCACAAAGGAACAGAGTTATTGTTTTTTGATGGTTTGACGTTCTCTTTGACTAAAAAGCATCAACCTGTTTGCCAATGAGCATACAAATGGAAAACAACTGCTATGAAAATGTGTTAACAGGCAAAACTATTAAATGAACTATTTAGAATATTTAATAAATAAGATTAGTTCAGACTCTAATCACAGACAATTAGATACCAAAATTTCTTAAAAAGAAAAAAACTTAAAATTTCTTTCATAATAATATGAGATTTTGCTAACCAAGGTGACTAACCATTTTTCCTTCTAAATCTAATGGACAGTTTTCAGTCATTACTTGACATGAACTCAGAGCACCAGCTACTCTTCCTTCTTCAAATGGTCCCTTTTTTGGTTTCTGGGTTTTCTTTAGCCTCAGGTTCCTGATCTACCAGTTTTTGTTTGTTTGTTTGTTTGTTTACTTTTCTCTTCTGTAAGTGATAATCCTCAGAGCTGCATCTTCATCCAGGGAGACTGAGGTGACTGATGGAGGCAGTGGACTCATTTACCATGTATGCGCTAATTCCATCTGAGTCACCTAACCAGGTCTCTCCCCCACACTGCAGATCCAATAGTCATTTCTTCCATTTAACTATATTCACTGGGTACATACTGTGAGCCAAGAAAGCTAGATACCAGAGATATGGCAGTGGACAAAACAAGCAGGGTTCCTGTCCTCCTGGAGCTTGTGATGTTGTGACCCTGAGAGATTACATAACCCTACGCAGAATAAGTTATAAAGGACAAGGGCACAGGCCAACGAAATCTAGTCTGTGAGTTGGAGAAAGTTTCTCTGATTAAGTGACATTTCAATAGAGATTTTAAAAACACATGTAGAGATTTAAAAAACACAGGAGTCATTGACGTATTCCAGAAACTGAAAGAAAACATGTAGTTCTGACACAGTAAGACCACGGGACGTGGCATGACCCTGAGGTAGACGGGGCCAGGCTACTTGGGAAACATGATGTTTTATTTTATAAAGGATGGTGCGTGTGGACGATATAGTTGAGCCCAACAGACTAGACTGTGGGACTTCACATTTCTTCTTACTCCTCAGGTGCTCAAGGCAGGCACCGATCAAGGGAAGCTCATGTGCTCATCTCAGGACAGGTAACAGGCACAGTGAAAACAGTGGGTCTAGCTGCAGTCGTCAGGAATCAGCAGTCTGGGTGCTGAAGAGCAAGCAGACTGGCTGGAGCTACCAGAGCAGCAGATGTGGGTTTACGAAAACTGGTGCCCTGGGGGTGGGGGTGGGGCACAGCAATGTATTTGTGTAAAATTTTCTAAAGTAAGCATTTTTAACTGCAACTAGTTAAGATCATTGAGTCTTTCTACTCTCACTTTTCCTCTGCATTATTCTTCTTATCTTGGGTGTTGGCCCAGTATTTTGGGGGGTTGGCTAAGGGGAAGTTGAGCTGTATTTCAATTTAAAAAAATCTACTGACCAATGAAAAACATCAACAATAAGAAAAATAACCCAATTTAAAAATGGACCCAAAACCTTGAGACACTTCATCAAAGGAAACGCACAGATGGCAAATACGCACAAGAGATGCTCCACGCTGTGAGGCACCAGGGAGATGCAAATTAAATCAACAGCGAGGTAACACCACACATCTGCCAGAGTTGCCAAACTCTGGAACACTGACAGCACCAAATGGTGGCGAGGATGTAGTGCGCAACAGGAACCCTCATTCACTGCTCGTGGGAATGCAAAATAGTACAGGCACTTGGAAGACAGACTGGCAGTTTCCTGTAAAACTAAACATACTCTTACCCTGTGACCCAGCAATCATGCTCCTTGGTATTTACCCAAAGGAGCTGAAAACTTATGTCCACACAAAAACCTGCACACAGATGTCTACAGCAGCTTTATTCATAATTGCCAAAACTTGGAAGACTTCAGTGGGTGAATGGACAAATAAACTATGATATATCCGTACAATGGCATATTACTCAGTGCTAAACAGCAATGAGCTGTCAAGCCAGAAGAAGACACAAGGGCATACTGGCTTTCTTGAAGGCTGTATGTGAGAGTTCTTCAGAAGACCCCTGAGGGGCCACCCAACTGCACAAGTCCCTATAGTGGAAGAACTGCTTTGTCTTGACGTTGAACCCTCCTTCCCTCCTCACCACCACTCTGCCCTTCTGCTTCTGGAGTCACCTCAACCACTGGCCTGTCCTGGGTACCAGCACAATGGTTCAAGCCTGGTTCTCTTTCAAAGTATCCACCTGAACCCAAGAAAAAGTCACACTTCCCCAGATGGAGTACAGGCTACTCTACTACTGTGCATACTCTCTATCCTGCCATTTCTCTTCCAAATCCTCTTCCCCCAAATGGACAAGAGGCTATCTAGGCAGACATTCCATTTGAAGTAAGATGGCAGCTTCCTTTTCTTAGAAGCAACCTCAATCTCTAGGAGCCATTCTTGTTGCTGTAGAGTCCCCTAGAGATGAAGGAAAGAGCCACCCCACTCCCAGTGGACTGACTCCAATCATTTTTCCTTCTCTTTTCCTGACCCATTAACAGAGAAAAACTCCCAAGTCTATGGCCTAAGCAGATATCCAATGGGGAATGATATGCCAGTTTCCCTTCTTGTGGATCAAGAGTTACATATGAATTAAAAGTAAAAGTTGGCAGGTCTACTTACCCTGCTTCATAAGATGCTAGGCCCTCTTTGACTAGCTGGTCATTAATACTAGTAGGCATTGTTCCAGGAGCACCAAGAGAATCAAAAAGCTCAACCAAGAGCACATTATCTTCCAGAATTTCTGCAAAACCATTAAGACTAATTTGAGGAAAGAAATAAATATGTTGCAAAATATACTAAATGAAGCAATTTTTGAAAACCTGAAAACTTAATTTCCTTCATTTTGCACACATAAGGTTTCTTTCTCAATAATATCAGTCTCTCTCCAGGGGTAAAAGTAGCATTTTTCAGACATAAAAGAACTGGCAATGTTAATAAAACTTCCATTTTAGGTTACTGTGTACTATTCTATAATGAACCAAAAGTAGCTTAAAGCTTTTAGATTCAGAAGAATATGAAGTGACATATATTTATTAAAGCAGCATTCTACTGTGCTTTTAAGTTGTTTTATTAGATTCTACCAAGTTCCTGAGGACAAAAGAAATGAATGAAAGTTAATTCAGGCCAGTGCTTGTCTGCAAAGTTTCAAAGCTTTTATAAGAATGGCACAAAGCTTACAACAACAAAAACTCAATCCAGAACACTAACTGCAATTTTTTCCTATCCTTTTGTTTTTAGGACAAAACATCTAGCTTTTAACTTCTTTTAGAAAACAAATTGGTTACTTGTTTATTAGGTCTATTTCTTAGACTAAACTGGGAGTTAGTTGAGGGTAGATTTTACATCTCGTGTTTACGTATTTCTGGTTCGCAGCATAGAGAGTCTGCAACACGCACTTGAATAAATGATAGAGGAATTTCTCTAGGAAACATGCAGTTCTATGCGCTGAGATCAGTTTATGCTTACACTTCTATGCAATAGTAGCTGGCAGCTGCTAAGAGAATGATGACTCCAAATAAAAACACAAATTACTACCAGCAGTAACATTCTATATTACGTAGTTATAAGAATACATGTTAGAAAGCTTTTTTCCAAGAGCTGAAAAATCATCACTGACTACTTTTCAATGGACCAGATACACTATCTAGAAACAAAAGGCCAAGCAACTCACCTGGGGCCTCAAGAAACTCACCTCCTCACTTCCTATCTCTTGCGTTCGTCTAGCATTTGATTCCGCACTTCCCAGGTAAAAGCCTTTATTACAACGGGGCCAACTTGCCCTGTGTCCTGTACCTGCTCATCTTCCCTACTCTGCTCCTAACTGAAACTTACACAGCTCCTGCTTTTATAAGGTAACACAGTAAACTAACGGGAGGCTCCCATTCTGGTCTGTGGGAGCCACTTTATGATAAACACCTTCAACTCTCAATCTCTTCACTGGGCAGGTTAATGGGGAAAGATGCTTTAGGTCGAGTGGGGCTTTTTGGCATTCCTTAAATCAAACTATATAGCTTAAGATACACCACAACTAGTGTTTAGGTATTTGGTGTAACAAGTAACTGAGAATGAAAAAGGGGGTCATGAAAGAAACCCAGGAGTCAGGTCTTCATGGGTTAACCCTGAAGGAGATATTTAAGGGAGAAGCTAAAAACAACAGAATAAAGTACCAACAGGAAAGCTGGGAAGCAGAATTAAAGCATGTTAAAATCAGCTCAAATTCAGTGGAGGTTACTCAGGAACAAGAGGCCCTTAATTTACCATTCATATCAGAGAAGCCAGACATAAAACTTCTACAGACTAAGGATACAGTTTCTATAATCACACTCTTCTTCAACAGATCTACTACTTCAGAATAATGTCTTGTATTAAAGTAAGTCAGCACAGACAGGCAATCAGCTTTCGGATTACGTGGCCTTGATTGATGGACCTCTGAGCTTTAATACCCTCACACTGTCAAACAGGCTAACAATCTCACGATGTTTGAGTTTGTTCAATGATAGTATGATGAAAATGAAAAAATGGATATGGTAAAAAGTGCCCTTGGAAGTCCATGATCAGCCCTAAGTGAACATGGTCTGGTGTATTCTGCACTAGTACTTGTTAACACCAACACAGCCAAGGTTGGTCCCAGCTTTGGAAAAGATCAAAACTCCAGATAGTAACAGATTCTGAACCACCTCTCGCCCAATCCAAATCCCTGTGGCATGACATGTTTCAGAACTCTTCAAATTGAGAAAAGCTACACAAAATATACCTCATATACTTCTTACTTTGTAAAACCCACAGCAGAGTCTGAGGCAGCAGCTCACAAACAAACATGACTATCCTGAAGTGGAATACATGACTATTTGCAGCACAGGAGATAATTACTATATATATACAATTGTATCTTTATGTAAACTCATCAGCTTTTGCCATTAAACTTTTGATTTTCAAAACTTGTTGGATTTCAAAATTGTGGGCTCGTGTTCAGCCTGTGTGTCTCAGACCCAAACTGTTCCAAAAAACGGAGTAACTTTTTTCAAAATATCCCAAGAGCCTACAGTTAAATTCACTCAAGTCAAACAAAACTAAAACCAACAAAAACTATTTATTAGTTATATCCCACCTCCCCTCACTTTCTTGCAGATTAAATCTTAGCATCCACCACCCCAAGATGAGAGACAAGAGACCTGGCAAAAGAGCAAAGAAAAGAGAAGAGAATTCCTGGCTTCAGGGCTCTCAAGAGGCCATGTTGAGGGTGACTTGATCTTTAACAGTATTTTTTGCCTCGTGTGCTGATTTTAGACTCTAGAGCCTGCAGAAGATATTATTCCACTGTCTCCAATTCTTATTAAGTGTTCTCTCTCGCTATTCATACTGATGACACATGAAATTATTATAAGATCTGGCAAATGTTATATCATAATGTTAGTCTTACTTAAAATTATGATCACATAGCAACAAAAAAATGGAAATAGCTTACTAATGACTGAACATGTCATAAACTTATCTTGAGTTTTTTCTTCAAATTTTTCTTTAGCTTTTTTTGACCACTGCATTGTCCTTTTACATGGTTCAATATAGGCCAGCTTACATTTAATTGCCTGTGTCAAATAAAATTGCACCTTTAAGAAAGTAATTTAAATTTATATTTACTTTAGAATTAAAGTGTTACATGTGCACAAAACTAAACTTCATGTTTGAATTTAATACAAATTTGGAAAACAAATAAATGTCCAAAGATGTCTCTAACAGTATTTATAAATGCAAACAGCTGGAATTGACAGACTATTGGATTAAGAGATACAAACTATTATGTATAAAATAAGTTACAAAGATATACTGCACAGCACAGGGAATATAGCTAATATTTTATAATGACTATAAACGGAGTATAACTTTTAAAAATTGTGAATCACTATATATTGTACACTTGTGACATATAATATTTTACATCAACTATACTTCAATTAAAAAAATAAAATACCCAATAACCTATTTAAAAAAAACCCTAAAAATCTGGAGGGAGGGTATAGCTCAGTGGTAGAGTGCATGCTTAGCATGGATGAGGTCCTCAGTTCAATCCCCAATACCTCTGTTAAAATAAGTAAGTAAATAAATAAATCTAATTACCCTCCTGCCACAAAAAAACCCCAAATCAAAAATGAAACAAAAAAAGCAGTATTTTGTTGAATGAATTTTTGAACATTCAGATACTGGAATAATAAGCATTCACTGAAAGAATTACAGATACTATGATATATTTTTATATGAAAAAGCAGGTTATAAAACTGTACAGTGTACTCCCATAATCTTGAAAAAACACAGAAGATGCATCTTAGAAGCACACACAACAAAAATATTGAATAATTCTAAGTGATGCCCCCCTCATTTTACTCATCTGTATTTTCAAGTTTCTCTGGTAACATTTTGCCCATTTTTAAATAAAAAATACTGCTTAATAACAATTCAAATACTAGGAGTGTATGAATTAGGAAAGAAGCCTCCTTAACCTTACTTATCTCTAGGGAGCAGGATTCTAAGATAAAGTTTTATATTTATTCTTTCAGACTTGTCTCTCTCTCTTGCACACATTATATATACTTAAACATAAATGGGATCATAGTAAAAGCATTTCTGTAATGAGTTCGTTTCATATAATATATCACAGTCTTACCACATTGTTCACGTATTTCAAAATAACATTAAAAGCTGTGGACCAGTAAGTACCTTATAAAGGCACAAATATACATATACACATATGTTTATAATTAATGCTTATTTGCTAAGATATATATATTATTTAAAAAATAGTAACTACAGAAACTCTTTTCCATAGTCCATGTATCAGACAATATTTACAGACAAAAATTATAGTTAAAAGAATATTTCTATGGTGAAAATGACTTCTAAAACTACTTTAATCTTTGTACTAATACTCTAACCTTATGATTCACAATAAGATGATTACCTTCTCTGCAGGATGCAGAAACTCATCCTTTATTTTACGCATTTCTTTAAGCGTTACTTTTGCTGTATTGCCAAAGTCCACGTATTTAACTTCAACTTCACGATGTCCAGGCAATCCTTCAAAAATTATGAAATTGGAAATCACAAACTTGAAAAAAGAATTACATAGCAAAATTTACATTCATCTACAGCCAACTATATTAGAATACTTTTATGTTCAACATACAAACTTAACTGTTTCTTTTTAATGGGAAAAATATTTCTAAGATTTCTAACATAACTTAACACAATCAACTACAATGCATAGTTGTTGAGCCTTGATGAATGAGAAGCTAACAATTTAAATATCTCAAAGGACAACCAAAATCAGGATAACAAAACAGCCATCAAATGCTAGGTGTTATGGCCTAAAAGTCAAGAATTGGGTTTGAAGTTAGACACTTAAATGCCATGTGACTGAGCAAGCTAATCTGTCTCTCTCAGGTATCACCCTGAGCATGTTACTTTTTCTCTCTAAGCCTCACTATTTCATCTGTAAAGTGGTGTACCAATAGAATCAAATCTTAAGACTTTTTGTTTTTGAGAATTCACCAATTTAAAATACTCTGCAAAGCACCAAGCACAAAATAAGCACTTATTGTTTGTTAGTCAACACAAACAAGGAAGACAAACAAGGCAAATAATAATCAAGCTACAGATTCACTCACATAACAATATCTTAACTGTGAAAGTAAAAAAAAATTATTTAGGGGAAAAAGGAGCAGAGATAGACTTCCTTGTCAATCTAGTTTTCATATTTTACAGGATACCAAATAAACCTCTGGAAGGTTCAAACACACCAAAGCTTGAATAAAGATCTATCACAAACTGACCTTTTTTATAAACACTCAAAATATACATTTAGCCCCTCTAAGTACATGTATGTTCAGTGCTACAAAATTTGTTGCCATCACTTTCAAATTAAAAAACTAATACAGTACATATAATTTCAAAATGGGAAAAAGTCCAGACATCCTCTGCTCCGTGGCAGAAGTGAAAGCAGGTGGAACAACACTGGTATGACTCGAGATGGCATTTAAGACTTAAGCCTTACGGTGGAGTGTATCTGCAGCACTTGAGAAGACGTGTGTTACTCTGTCAGGTTAAAAGATGAGGGGACCTCCCCCCATTTCCTCTGGAACCCTCAGGCAAGGAGGTTATTCTCAACTGTACCAATGCCATTAGTCTTACCATGCCTCAAGTCTCTGAATGGAGATGCAGTTTTAAACAAAACAAACAAACAGATGGATATGGGATGGAATTTAGAGAACATATTTTACCCAAGTTATTAATCACGTGTGAGAGTAGAGTCAGGAGACATGGAAGGTCTCGAAATTTACCTTCCACGTATTCTCTCTGAGGAAAATGCTCCACTAGGTATGAGTGTAAACTGAAAAGGTAAATGGGATCTGAAAACAAGGGGTCCAACACAGGAAAACAAGTGAAATAAATTCCTAGAATAACAAGAGTGTAGCAAGCCTAGAGGCCAAGCAGTCTAACTGGAGGAGATGACAGAATCAAACCAACATTATCTGAAAAATCTAATCATGTGGAAAAGTGTTTTAAACTATTAGGAAAATGTAGCCATAAATTAAAAGAAAATAAAGTGAACAACTGATGCAGTTATTAACTCAGAAGTAAGCAAAGTATAATTTATAGAGTAGCAGTGAAAATATCTGCATGGAATACAAATTTAACTAAAAAATTGTGATACTAACTGCGGGAGGGAGAAAGGGGACAAAGAGCTGTAAGAGATCTAATACCTCTGTAACATGAGAACAGGTAATACCTAAGACTGAAGTATCCACAAAGTACTACTTATTGTTTAGAAGACAACACAGGTAAACAAAGGAAACAGCTGAAATAATTAAGAGTATTTGCTTTTTAGGAGGAGAATGGAGTATGTGTGAGTCATTCAACACCATTTAACTTTCTAAATAAGGCAAATATTAGAAAACAAGAAAATGGTTAAGTCCTATTCACATCAAATGAAACCGAAGGAGCCAGAGATTCACCTACCAACATGACCATCAACTTTCTAAACTGGATGACAGAACAAAACCGTAGGGTCAAATAATATCATCCCCATGATTTAATCTGTACCAACTCAAATGGATCCGTTTCTTAAAAAAAAATTGTATTTATTTGTTTATTCCTTTATTTATTTTTTACTTAAAAATTTTTAATTGAAGTATAGTTGATTACAATGTTGTGCTAGTTTCAGGTGTACAGCAAAGTGATTCAGTTATACATATACACATATATTCTTTTTTGGATTCTTTTCCACTATAGGTGATCACAAGATATTGAATATAGTTCCCTATGCTATACAGTAGGTCCTTATTGCTTATCTATTTTATCTGTAGTAGTGTGGACATGTTAATCCCAAATGCCTAATTTAGCCCTCCTCCCATCCTTTCCCCTTTGGTAAGCATAGTTTTATGTCTGTCAGTCTATTTCTGGTTTGTTGGTAAGTTCATTAAATGGTATCAATTTTTAAGTATAACATTTCCCTGTAAAAACAGTGTGCAATTTCCTACCAATAACTTTTGCTCGGTACCAAACTCCATCTTCAAACTTAGCTACACAGGCTTGATCTTGAACTGGACAGAGGATTTCCAGATTCTCCCCATCTTCACTTTTATAGAATTCCTCAATTGTCCTTAATATAAATAAAAAATCCAGGCTCTCTATCTAAGAAATAAAGGGATTAAAGTGCTGTAGTTTCATAGAAACTCAAAATTTAAATGTTGCATGTATTATAGATATTGCTCACAAAATTATGAAGTATTAGAATTGAATTAGAGATAAATTATTACATAATTTATATCTGAAATATTTTATTACAGAAGTAGTATATAAAATAAACATATATAGAGAAAAAAATTTTTTTTAAAAATCACATTCCTCCAGATATCTTAACTGTATATCCATCCAGATCTTTTTCTAAACACACTTTCCATACATTTGTTTTTACAAAGTAAGACCATATCATACATACAATTTGATAATCTGCATTCTTCTATCAATTCTCACTTTTTCTATTTCAGTAAGTATTCCTACTAGTACTTTTAGACTATATTAGATTTCCCTAATTGACCAAACCCAGTATCCAATCTGTCTCAGTAAGCTTTTTAATTAAGTGTAGTGTTCTTTTTCAAATGATCCTGTCTTGTTAAAGAGAGTATTTTCCTGCAGAATGCCCCATCTTCTGGATTTCCGTGGTTAGTCCTCATCCTGTTACTTAGCTTGTTCCTCCAGTGAGTAGGGTCCATCCCCTGAACTTCCCAAAAGCTGACAGTTCTATCTACAGGTTTGACAGATTCAAGCCAAACCTTTCTGGCTAAAATATATCATAGTATACTCAAGTTGCAACGCCTCAAAAGACCTAACATTACTGACACTATTAATATGTTAAGATTCACCTAACCACACATCAAGAGGCAGGAGCAAACCAAGCGACCCTCAGTGGATGGATGGACTAATAAAATGTGGTCCACAACGAAAGATTAGTCAGCCTTAAAAAGTAAATCCCGTCACCGCTACAACACGGATGAACCTTCAGGGCACTACGCTACGTGAAATAAGACAGTGACAAAAGAACAAGCACAGGTATCCCCTGCTACCTCAAGTAGAGTGTTCCCACGAAGCCTTTTGTCAGCCAAAACGGAGTAACGCAAAGCAGCTCACTTTTTTCATAACAGCAAAATCCTCTTCAGCTTTCTCTCAGTTAATGAAAACAGATACTAACATAGGTCTTCCAGAAAAGCAGAGCTGATGTAAAGTGAACTTTCAAAAAACGGGGGATAGCTGTACTGTATGATTGCACTTATATGAAATATTTAAATAGTCAAATTCATAGAAAAAGAAAGGGGAACTGTGATGGTCAGTGGCTGAGAATGAAATAGGGATTTGTTATTCAAGGGGTACTGAGTTTCAGTTTTGCAAGATAAAAAAGTTCAAGAGAGCTGTTTGTTGCACAACAATGTGACTATAGTTAATACTACTAAACTGTACACCTAAAAATGTGTTCAGATGGTAAATTTTCTATGTGAAGGACTGACACCCTTTCTTTCAAGATCAGTAACAAGGTAAAGGTGTACGCTTTTGCCACTGCTATTTAATATACTACTTTAAGTTCCAGCCAGAGTAATTAGGCAAGAAAAAGATACAAAAGCCGTCCAAATTGACAGGAAGTAGTAAAATAATCTCTTTTTTACAAATGACATGATCTTATAGGTAGAAAATCCTACAGATTCCACAAAAATAATAGAAGGTCTAATAAATGAATTCAGGAAAGATACAGGATACAAAGTCAACACACAAAGAATCAGATGCTTTTCTATACACTAACAATGAACAGTCTGTGGAAATTAAGAAAACAATTCATTTACAATAGAATTGAAAAGAATACACTTAATAAGAAATATAACCAAGGAGGCAAAAGACTTGTACACTACACAACACTGCTGAAATTAAAGAAGACAAAATAAATGGAAAGGTCTCTCACATTCATGAATTGAAGACTTAACACTGTTGAGCTGTCAATACTATCCAGTGCAATCTACAATTCAAAGCCACCCTTATCAAAATCCCAATGATGACTCATGCGGAATACAAACACCCATCCTAAAAGTGACATGGAATCTCAAGGGAACCCAACCTTCCAAAACAATCCCGAAAAAGAACAACAAAGTTGGAGAGCTTACACATCCTGATTTCAAAACTTGCTACAAAGCCACAGTAATGAAAATAGTGCTCTACTGCCACAAGGACAGACAGACAGAGAGCCCAGAATTAAACTTTCACATCATATGGTCAGCTGAGTTTTGACAAAAGTGCCAAGACCATTCAATGGAGAAAAGACCATCTTTTCAACAAATGGTACTGGGAAAACTGGAATTCATATGGGAAAGAATGAAATTGGATCCTTCCCTTACATTATACAAAAATTAGCTCAAAATGACTCAAAGACCTATATGTAAGAGCTAAAACTATAAAACTCTTAGAAGGAAACATATGGCGGGAAAAGCTTCATGATGTTAGATTTGGCAATGATTTCTTAGATATGACACCAAAACAGAGGAAACAAAGAAAAAAATAGATAAAACAGTCTTTATCAATTAAAAACTTTTTTTGGATCAAAAAATGCTATCAAGAGAGTGAAAAGGCAAGACACACAATGAGAGAAAATTCCAGAAAATAATGTATCTGATAAAGGATTAATATCCATAATGTATAAAGAACTCCTACAACCCAACAACAACAAAATAAATAATCCAATTCAAATGGGCAAAGGACCGGAATAGATATTTCTCCAGAGAAAACATACAAACAGTGAACTAATAAGCAAAAGAAAAGATGTGCTCCACAATACTAGCTACTAGGAAACCACAAATCAAATCCAAAATGAGATCACTTCACCCCCTCAAACTTGGTGTTACTAGAAAAAGGAAAATAAGTGTTGCTGAGGATGTGGAGAAACTGGAAGCCTTGGGCACTACACTGCTGGTGGTGACAGACGCACACATTCTTAATGGCATTGAAGTGTACACTTAATTGTTAAAATGGTAAATTTTTTGTTATATATGTTTTACCTCGATTTAAATAAAAGACACTAAAAAAATCAACAAAAGAAATACACAAGTCCTCTTAGTGACAAACAAAACTTCACCACTCATCTAGGGAACCAGTACAGTGTGGGGCAGTGCTTCTGATGACAGGCTCTACATGAGCCCAGTTCAATCCTGGCCCTACTCTTTCGCAGCTGTGTAACCTCAGGCAAGTCGCTTCACCCTTCTGGTTACAGTCTCCACATCTAAATGAAGATAACAGTAACTTTCTCATAGGACTGTTGTAAGATCCATGAGTTAATTCATACAAAGCACTGACACAAAGATCTCAGTAAGGATGAACCTTACTGCTGATAGCTATCTAAAACAAACTCATCAGTCACACATCCAAAAAGTAGTATGAAATGCCTTTAATCTGAATCTATTTTGGTGTTCAAATTCAGAATATTACTTGGTAATATTAAGTATATTCCTGTGTTTGCATGATCAGAAACAGACTTTATCATTTTATTTTGAACTGTCAGCTCCATGTGCTCTCCTGGTTTCTAGATTTTAGAAGAGAAACATCCATACATTAGGCATCCTTCACTGTCCTTTCCCTCCACACTTCACTAACTTGTACGATGAAGATTTCTTTCAACTTACTATGAATCACATGAATTTCTTGTTTAAAGTTGCAGCTACTAAGAAACTTAAATTTACTGAAGTTTGACAGTGGTTTGCTTGCTCTAAAATTCATACTGGGCATCATTTCCACTATATATTTCTACTTAAAATTTGAAAAAAATACTTTCTTCTTAAAGGGCCACTATATACTTACCAGCTGAAGATAGAAATCAGTAGGACTATTTATATGACAAACCATAACTGAAACATCTGTCATTTCTTTAGGCAAAACAGGTGGATGATAGTGTAAAGTCATATTTTTTTCAGAGTGACTTCTTGGTGACTGTGACCTAAACCTAGTTAAAAGCATAATTAAAAGCATAAGCAAGAGCCATTTTCTTAAAGTTTCTCTTTTCTCAGTGAACTGATCTGAAGAGAGGACTTACACATATACTGATTTATCTATCAAGAGTCTTTTTCCAATTTCTCTCTTCTAACTTGTGACATTTCTTGGTATTGTTTCCAATTATCAAAACAGGTTATAAAGAGATTCTCAAAACTCAATAATTAACCTTCAGTTTGTGTTGGAACATTTCTGAGTTGGGGCTGTATGTTCAAAGCTTCTACTCTCCTGGCTGACTTCTTAACCACTGTCTATGGTGGCGCTCAGAAAGGCCAGCTGAAGGGTCTCTGTGGCTCCTCCCAGCTCAGATACTCCAAACTTTTATTTTTCCTGAATGGAATCTACCCGAGTCACCTCCAGAGTCATGCAACTGCTCAGGACAGAAAGTTGGTGTCTTCCACTACCTCTGCAGTTACTTAGTCATCTTAATCTGTTCATCAGAGATGAGAAAGGAAAAGAAATTTATTCTAGATTCCTGTATTAAATGTTCAGTGGTGATCATGATCTTACTCCAAAGGTAAGAAATTTTAAGTCAGGAACTGTTAAACTATTATTCCTGAAACCCTACTGGAGCCTCCTGTGAAGTTAGCAAGTCTAAAAAAATGTTCAGTATCTACAAATCGTTTCTATTTTGAGCTACCTTAATTTCTCTATTTCCTTAAATCAAATGATCTGAATGTAACTTTTTCACAGACAATCGAACTTAGAAAACTCTTGATAGCAGTATTTTTAACCTCTTAGGGTAAGTTACAGTTCATTTTAGAACCCACAGTTTCTCAAGGTAAAATCTCTTATTCTAATTTATACCTATGATCTTGAAAATATTTAAGCTGTAATGTTACCTACCTTGCTAGTTCCATAAAAACTAAGGCATCTCTAAGAGACACTGGCATATCACTGCTTATTTTATTTGTTGGTGGTTTCTGTAGATCTACAATGAGCACACCATCTTCTTTTTTAAAAACTTTCATTAAAACAGCCTTCTTATTTACCATTTTCAAAAATTCTACTTTAGCTTCTTCTCCCCAGCCTTCATTCTGTGGAAAAAGTAAATTTCCAATGTATTTAGTAATTACAGTTAGCTCTAATGGTATAATACTACAGATTAAGCTTTATACCAGCCAAAGTCTGCAAATTTGAGCGAAGGCATGAATCAACCATAGATATTTAAGAAGCAGCTAGGGCCACAAACCCTATAAAGGACAATCTTTATGTATGCACAATGTATGGACCATACTGATTTTATAAACATGGTCTCAAGGTGACCATAAGCTGCTTCCCTTTAGGACTTAGTTTTCCTTCTGAATATTAATATGAAGATAATAAAGATTTAAAAATAAAACAAGCAATATATATGAATTTTACACATAAACGATGAAATCCAAAAGGTAATTTTGAAAGCATAATAGAAGCCATGTAACACATTTAAGATACTTATAATCATCATCAGTTACTAGCAACAGATGAGGCATATCCTACTTAAACAATAAGGAAAAACACTCACCTGCTGAAAAAAATTTTTTCCAGTTGATCTTTGAAACTTTAAGTACCCATACCTAAAGTAAATTTCAAGAGCCAAAACTACTCATTCCTTTAAAATAAAACATCTTCCTAAAGATTTTATGAGAACAGAAGTAAAGCCTACCCAGAACAGAAAGCACAAAAACATATACAAGATAAAATTAAAGTCAAAACAATTTTACCATTCTGAGGAAACACAAGTGCTAATATTTTTGTGTGTTTCTTTTTACTTTCTTATTCATTTGTTCACTCTTTCCAATATTTGCTGAATGTTTCTTATGTGCTCAGTGATTTGCTAAGTGCTGGAGTACAGTGATAAACAAAGGCACACACTTTATAATGATATAATTGCTTAACATACATTTTTACGCACAATTTCTGTCTCCTAGGAGATTTAAATCTTGCTGCGGAAGAAATATTCATAAGTAATACAAAGCAGAATAGAACAGGGGCTAAAAGTAGAGTAATGAGCAAAGGCCTACAGAAACAGTGAAGAAATGTACGGAAACACATACCACATCATAATTTAAATTTATTTCTCTCTATATATTTATTTGACTTCAAAATTTAATGGTTTACTTGGATATTTCACTCACCATTATGTTCATATATGTATATTCAACTCAATTTCCCATTAAGAACGTTTCCAATTACAGAAACTGAAGTTCATTTCCTTTTCTTATTGGCACTAATTGTTTATTATGCAAAATGGATTTAACAAGAGAACTGGTGCATTCAGTAATCTGATCAGCAATACATAGCTAAAATTGGAAAACTGGCCCCTGAATAAGGAATAATTTAAGCCTCACTTACTGAATTCTGTGGAACAATGTCTTTCAATGAACATGGCAGTGCTAATGGGTGGATGTCTTTCAGCAGCTCTTCCACGTATGGTTCAGACTTCCTCAGAACTAGACATAAGTCATTTAGTACTACATGTTGCTTAGCAGTGTGTTCTGATCTCACGTGAGTATCACCAACTCTAGGAAGAATTCAAGTAATTATTGAAAATAATGCTTCAAAGGCAATGGAGACACTAAATGACACAATAAAACTGTTGGACTTGGAAGCTACTTTTGGGACATTACATCACCCCAAAACAGAATATATATTCTTTTCAAGTGCTCATGGAATATTCTCTAGGATAGACCACATACTCGGGCACAAAAGAAGCCTCAACAAATTTAAGAGGATAGAAATTATTTCAAGCATCTTCTCTGACCACAATGGCATGAAACTAGAAATCAACCACAGAAAGACAAATGAGAAAAAAACAATGGAGACCAAACAACATGCTACTAAAAAAACCAATGGGTCAATGATGAAATCAAACAAGAAATTTAAAAACATTTTGAGATAAATGACAATGAAAACACAACCACACAAAATCTATTGGATGCAGCAAAAGCAGCCCTAAGAGAGAAGTTCATAGCAATACAGGCCTTCCTCAAAAAACAAGAACAATCTCAAATAAACAACCTAACCTACCACCTAAAACAATTAGAAAAAGAAGAACAAACAAAACCTAAAGTCAGCAGAAGGAAAGAAATAAGGATCAGGGAGGAAATAAATAAAATAGAGATTAAAAAAATAGAAAAAAAATCAATCAAACCAAGAGCTGGTTTTTCAAAAGAGTAAACAAAATTGACAAACTTCTGGCCAGGCTCACCAAGAAGAGGGAGGACGCAAATAAACAAAATAATTAAATTGGAGAAATTACAACAACCACTGTAGAAATATAAAAAATCATAAGAGAATACCATGAACAACTATATGGCAATAAATTGGACAACTTAGAAGAAATGGACAAGTTTCTAGAAACATACAGTCCACCAAAACTGAATCAAGAAGAAATAGATCATTTGAACAGGCCAATCACTAGAAGTGAAATAGAATCAGCAATAAAAAAAACCCTCCCTGCAAACAGGACCAGATGGCTTCACTGTGGAATTCTATCAAACATGCAAAGAAGAGCTCATACTGATCCTTCTCAAAACCTTCCAAAAGAATGAAAAGGAGGGAATACTCCCAAACTCATTCTATGAAGCCACCATTACCATGATACCAAAGCCAAAGACATTACTAAAAAAGAAAACTATAGGCAAATATCATTGATGAACACAGATGCAAAAATCCTCAACAAAATATGAGCAGAATTCAACAGCACATAAAAAAGATTATACACCATGATCAAGTTGGGTTCATCCCAGGGAATAAGAATGATTCAGCACATGCTAATCAATCAACATGATACGCCACATCAACAGGAGAAGCAACAAAAATCACAGGACCATCTCAATAAATGAAGAAAAAGCATTTTGTAAAATTCAACACCCATTTATGACAAAAACTCTAACCAAACTGGGTATACAGGGAACATATCTCTACATAATAAAACCTATTTAGGACAAACCTACAGCCAGCTTAATACTCAATAGTGAAAAGTTGAAAGCCTTCCCACTAAAATCTGGAACAAGACAAGGATGCCTACTTTCACCACTTCTATTCAACGTAGTATTGAAGTCTTATCCATAACAATTGGACAAGAAAAAGAAATAAAGGGGAACTTGGAAGAGAAGAAGTAGAACTGTCATCGTATGTGGATGACATGATAGTATATATAGAAATCCCTAAAGGCTCCACACAAAAACTACCAGAGCTGATAAAAGAATTCGGCAAGGTAGCAGGCTACAAGATTAATGTACAGAAACCAGTTGCATTTCTTTGCACTAACAATGAACTATCAAAAAAGGAAAGTAAAGAAACAACTCCTTTTAAAATTACATCCAAAAAAAAATAAAATTTAGGAATAAATCTGACCAAGGAAGTGAAAGATTTACATGTTGAGAACTACAAAACACTGAGAAAGGAAATTAAAGATGACTTAAAGAAATGGAAAGATATTCCATGTTCTTGGATTGGAAGAATTAACATTGTTAAAATGGCCATACTACCCAAAACAATCTACAGATTTAATGTAATCCCTATCAAATTACCCATGACATTTTTCACAGAACTGGAGCAAATAATCCTAAAATTTATAAGGAATCACAAAAGACTCAGAATTGCTGAATTAATACTGAGGAAAAAGAATGAAGCTGGAGGAATAACCCTCCTAGATTTCAGACAATACTACAGAGCAACAGTAATCAAAACAGCATGGTATTGGTACAAAAACAAACATATGGATTAGTGAAACAGAACAGAGAGCCCAGAAATAAACCCACAAACTTTTGGTCAACTAATCTTTGACAAAGCAGGCAACAACATACAATGGAGTAAAGGCAGCCTTTTCAGCAAATAGTGTTGGGATAACTGGACAGCTGCATGTAAATCAATGAAGTTAGAATACTCCCTCACATCATACACAAAAATAAACTCAAAATGGCTTAAAGACTTGAACATAAGACAAGATACTATAAACCTCTTAGCA